CTAAACTCTCTTTTATAATATAGTAGAAATATATATATATATGTCAAATGGAAAAGTCCAAGTATATAATATATAATATTCAAGATTGGGACAAAGTCCCAATCTTGAATATTATATATTATAGTTGGCCCTAAACTCTCTTTTATAATATAGTAGAATATAATGTATCCAACAAACTAAGCACTTAGATACATGAGTATCATACAAGTGCATTCATATGTATCATAGAAGTATCTAGTATTAATTTCATGTATTTGTTATACGTATCTAGTATTAATCTCATGTATCTATATATATGATCTAATATTTATTTCATGTATCTTTTATATGTATATTGTGATGTATCAAGTATCAATTCCATACGTTATATCCAATAAACATGTATCTCAGATACATAGTAAGCATATACATCTATATATATGTATCTAAATATGGATGTAACCGAAACACATAAATTTAGGAACAAATCATAACTATAGAGTATTTGTTGTATCATTAATAAAAAAAAGTAAAAAAAATCAGATTTCTTCCTTTTTTTAGCATCTGATTTTTTTCTCATAGATACTGATAATCTAACTCAGATACATTAACTCTTAACTAGATACATGCGCATCTAGTACCCTTTGTATCTCTTTCCTCTTCTGCAGATGCCAACGCCACCTCCATTGCACGTTTCCTCGCCATCATGAAATCGTCATCTCCGACAAAAACTTCACCAAACTAGCAGGAAATCATTCATTCCTCATTGCGCTCCTCTCCTAGATACACTGAGGAATTGAAACTTGATGATGTTGTACATATTGCTATACTGACCTTGAATGAGAGGTAGATATCTTAACCTTTTCCACATAATTATTATTGTTGTATTCACGAATTTCTTCCCTTGGTTTAGCGTGTTTCTATACTTCCCTTGAAGAAGGATGTAATTCCAATCCCCTCAATTTTGATTCGGCGGTTAGCATCGTGATCATTACCTTATTTGTCATCTCAAAAGTGAAGGATACACAAAAATTGTCATGCACTTGAACCTCCTGTCCATTATAAGTGGGATCAATACTCGCTCATTGCATTGCACCAGAATGTTGTGATCTTTAATGATAATCATTACCTTATGTATCCATTCAGATTTCTGGAGAAAACATCGATGGAGATTGGTAGAAGGGGACAATTGATGAGAGATAAAGATACGGATTGTTATTTGATCATTAGTTGTGGTGTTTAAATATAAAGATAATTAATCACTCCTAGATTTAAGGGATGTGACTCTATCTAATTGTATCTTTTAAAATATATGGTATAAAATATTAAAAGTGGTAATATATGTAATTGTTTGGAAGTAGAGGTAAAATTAGTATATATACTAAGGATGTATGTCTAGTTAAGTAGTTTTTCCTTATTTAAAAGGGGGGTTGATTTATGGGTCGGATTATGTGTTTATGGGTTCAAATTTTTTAGGGGCATGATTGATTCCTTTCCAATTTCATATAAATGACATGTAGTAAGGTCAAAATGACATGGCAATTCCATGTGACATTTAAAGAAATGGAAAATGAGATGGATATGTCCAGCAGACCAACCAACGCCCATAAGGGCATATCTATGTGAAAAGCTGGACGGCGAGGACATGAGTGAGCCAAACTTTAAACGGGAATATATCTAGACTTTTTCGAATAGTTTAAGGATATATTTGACCCTTTTCCCAAAATTAAATAAGAAATACAACTTTTTAGTTTAGTTTCATTTAGTTATCAAAATACAAGTTTCCCAAAAAAAATTCATTAAAGGAATGGAGGCTATTTTTGTAAAACTTTTTTTACGGAGGACAAAATATCAAGATCAGTCCTTATGAGGGTCATTTGTGAACTTAACTTGTTGACCAAAAGTTACGAAGATTCAAACTACAAACTCATATAAGTATAAGGGTCTATTAAATTATATTTTTTCCTTTTAAAATAAAAATAAAAAGATAATTATTTTCATAAGACGCAAGAATCTTTAAATTAATCTATATATTACTATATAAGAAGAGTGAATAAAAATTCACTCTTCTTTTGACACATGGCACCCAAAAAAAGGAGAGGGTTGAACATTAGTCTCAAGGTGAGGGTATTTTGAGTATTTCAAAATACCCTCACATTCACACTTATCTACT